AAAAAAAAAAAAAAAAAAAAAAAAACTTCATGATTTGTTTAAATAAACAAAATATTATAAAAATAAAATCGTAAAAATCCCTAAAACTACGGAAGATGAATTAAATTACGTAGCCGTTCGTATCGTCGACAGTTTTCCACGGTCAGAGCCAAATGGTCTTCGGAGCCGTTACCCCCGGCTTATTCGGACGCCAGCTGTCTCGGCCCTGCGGGATCATATATATATCCCTCCCGCACTCACACTCTCTTCTACAGGACACATTCTCACACTAGAATCAGAGCGCTCCATCAACGGCCTCTTCCCTTCCGAACGTTCGTTGCCGAATTCAAACGCTAGATAATTACCTAGCAATCGGAGGAAGAGACAGCAGAATCGAAAGGAGTTTCTCGCCTGATCCCGGTGATGAAAAATAGAGGTAATGTAATTACATTTTGGTATTTGGTCGTGACTACTCTGTTCTAGGTTGAAATTTTAAAGGCACAGCCGGCTATTCCGATTTAGGGGTTTATTGGAGAATTTCAGAGATTATTCTGATTTAGGGGTTCACTCGAGCAACTTCAGAGGTTAATCGAAGGATCGTTCGTTCTTTCTCTTTTTTTCCTGTTATTGACACCTTTTGTATTTTTCGTGGTTTCGATTATGGAGGATTAGGGCGTTTTTAGTAGGTTCATTGTTCGTTCCCATGGTAACGTGATTATTGTCTAGATTCTTCGTTTCATTCCCCATCATCTTCTATCCCTTCTCTGTGTGGGGAGCCAGGGAACAAACCTGATATTCAAGTTTATGTGTTGGCAGAAGAGAAGAGAACGACGAACTCTTATGTCATTGAGATTGGTTCCGATAACAGAGTGGGGAAGAACAAAGCAGTTGCTCTTGATGAAGTGATTGCTTGGGCAAAAGAAAACCAGTTGGTCCTGTCAATTCAGGCCGGTGGGAGATTTTCGCATCTGCTAGGAATACTGGTATGATTCCAAGCCCAAGGCTGTAGGAAGTAATTGTTGTTTATAAGTTTATTTTTAGTTTCATTATTTGTTGGCTGTGAAGTCGTGGATTGTAGCTTTAGCTGCTTTATTCATGAAAAAAGATGTACTGAAAGTAAATGATGAATCAAAAAGCCTAATATCATGAAAGTCCTTTTTCTTAAGGAAGAAGTGTTCTGCAGGGGCCTCCCTTGCTCAATGAAGAACCACGGAATTACTGTCCTTTTATCTTCCATAAGTTCTTCACCATATTTTTTGAGGAAGCAATTAAGAAAACTCTAAAAGATCAAGGAAGATGTTATAGATTAAGAAAACAGCAAGTTCTGGAAAGTTTGATTTTGAGATGTTATAGTTTTCAGTATTTGCTTGTCTTTCAATGTTAGTGTGCCATATTTCTTACAATAGTATTCCATTTTCTGAACTTGCACAGATTTGCATTTAGATTCATCTAAAAGATCAAGGAAAAAGTACTCTTCTCCACTTTTTAAACAATGATGGCAATCAATTTGTTGAAATCGAAGGTACTTTCTTTGTTCAACTTAATGATTTGTCTGCATTGAAGATCAATGCATAATTATTTTTTTAATTAATAATATCATGCAGGATGGTCCGATTCATGTAACATTTGTTGTAAACAATTTGGGATGCATGAAATATAACCACACAACGCACTAAGGTAAGCCATTGCTTTTACAAAACTTTTATCATTCTATTTACTGGTCAAACTTGAACAAAAATAGGTAAGGTTCACTTTTAATGGTTTCAAATTATCCGTATCTCATTGGTTTGACATTATTGTTCATACTTCCTTTGCTATTGGAGAAGATTTTGATTAATAACCATGTTATGAAAATTTCAGATGGAAATGGAGGACATAGATGGAGATAATAAAGTTGAGGTCAAGGAATCCAACTCTAGTTGCTACGTTCAACACTCCATCACGTAAGAAATTATCTGTTTGACATCATAAACTACCTTATGTGTTGCCTAGATCTCATGAGAATTACGTTATTGGCAATGTTGTGGTCCTACTAATGTTAGATTCCTATATTTAATCTTTATTGTATCTTTGTTTTTTCCTTTTAATGTTCCTTGTGTTCTACTGATATCATGTTTTTGGTTCAAGAGTAAACGATTAAAATGTTAAAGTCGAAAGGGTTCATGAGTAAGAAATTAAATTAGGTTTTTCTATTTTATGAGTGTTTTAGGTAGTTAGTAAAACCGAGTGAAAAGCCAGACTTCTGCAATTATAATAAACCCCATGAATCTATCTCAACGTTCCAATTTCCAAAGAGACAATGTAAAACTCAATGATCAAAGAATTCCATTTCAAATCAATCAAACAATTAGGAGCACATCATTGGTCATTACTTACTCCACATTCGGCATAAGAGAAACCGTGTCACAACATATAGGCGAATTGCCCACAAAAGTTGTAGAAAACAGACAGACCTAAGTAACAAAACGAACTAGAACAAATAAAAAAAAACAAAATTCAGAAGAATAGTTCATGAATAAGAGGCAATGATGAGTGGTAAGGTGAAGAAAGAGAGAAATAGGAGAAAGGGGTAGAAAATTAGGGCTGGTGCAGACTCATCTGGGCATGTGGAAGGGGAAGGCTCAGAGTACAGAGAGCACTCTTTGAGTTTGTCCTTTCCTCTCTGTTTCAGTTTCATCGCCCCTCATTTTGCTTGTTTGGCTTATGACTAGGCTTTCTCCAATGTTTCATTGCCACATCATCAATATAACAATTTATTCTCATTATCCTTCCGAGGGTCAAGGATTAAGTTGTAAAACCAAGAAACGAACTTAAGACTCAAAGAACTTGTCTTATGGAAGGCCAAAGGTAGTTACAAGATTTGTAATACCAAGAAAAGATGAACTTAAGAACTAAAAAACCCTCCCTTGTACAAGAAGGAACAAAAGGAACATGTTTCTTGTACAAAAGGAACATGTAAGACATGATCTTGAAAGATGATAAGCTCTACGATATAAGGAAACACAAGGATGACCAAGGAAGACTTGTCAATCTCAACAAAGGATGTTAAGAAGACACTCAAAAGGAACAAATGCTAGAACTAGAAAACGGCTTAAGGCATAAGTTAAGAACTAAAGGCCACAAGGGCTGATTATAAGGATTATGGAAGGCCAAGAGTAGTAAAAGGATTAAGAAAAGCCTAGTAATACTGAGAAAAGAAGAACTTAAGATCCAAACAACCTGCCCTGTACAAGAAGGAACGAAAGGAACATCTAATGTTTGTCAATTTCAACAAACGATGTTGTGAAGACAGTCAAAATAAACAAATGCCGGAACAAGAAAATGTCAAGTACACACCTTAAGACATAAGTTAAGAACTAATGGTCACAAGGGCTGATTATAAGGATTATGGACGACTTAAGGGATGTTACAAAGATTAAGGAAGACCTTGTAATATTGAGAAAAGAAGAGCTTATGACCCAAAGAACCTACCTTGTACAAGAAGAAACAAAAGGAACAATGTCGAAACAAGTACATGCTTTAGGCATGAATTAAGGACTAAAGGTCACAAAGGCTTATTATAAGGATAATGGACTGCCAAGGAGTTTTACAAGGATTAAGAAAAGCCTTGTTATACCGAGGAAAAAACTTAAGACCCAAAGAACCCACCTTGTACAAGACGTTACAAAAAGGAACATCTAAGCTACGATCTTGAAGAAAAAAACATTGATTATGTTAAGGCCTGTTAAACATAAAGACGATAAGATCTACGATATAGGAAAATACAAGGATGACCAAGGAAGACTTGACAATCTCAACAAAGGATGTTAAGAAAATAGTCAAAAGGAACAAATGTTGGAACAAATACATGTATGAAGGTATAAGTTGAGAACTAAATGTCACAAGATTAATTATAAGAATTATGGTGCCCAAGGAATGTGACAAGGATTAAGGAAGGTAGTTATGCTGAGAAAAGAGCTTAAGACCTAAAGCACCCGCCTTATATAAGAAGGAACAAAAGGAACATCTAAGATAGGACTTGACAATCTCAACAAAGAATGTTGAGAAGGCCGTCAAAATGACCAAATGTCGGAAGAAGTACATGACTTAAGGCATAAGTTAAGAACTAATGGCCACAAGGGCTTATTATAAGGATTATGGATGGCTAAGGGATGTTACAATGATTAAGAAAGGCCTTGTTATACAAATAAAAGAAGAACTTAAGTCCAAAACAACCCGTCTTGTACAAGGAACAAAAGGAATATCTAAAATAAGACTTCAAATGTCGAAATAAACACATGACTTAAGACTTGACAAATAAAAGGAACATCTAAGATACGACCTTATTATGTCAATGTTTGTTGAACATAAAGATGATATGCTCTACGATAGGAAACACAAGGATGAAGAAGGAAGACCCATCAATCTCAACAAAGGATGTTGAACCAAGTACATGCCTTAAGACATAAGTTAAGAACTAAAGGCCACAAGGGCTGATTTTATAGATTATGGACGACCCGTAGTAGTTACAAGGATTAAGGAAGGTCTTGTTATACTGAGAAAAGAGGACCGAAAGAACCCGCCTTGTACAAGAAGGAACAAAAGGAACATCTAAAATAACACTTGACAATCGCAACCAAGGATATTGAGAAGACATTAAAAAAGAACAAAGGTCGGAACAAGTACATGACTTAAGTCCCAAAGAACCCATCTTGTACAAGAAGAAACAAAAGGAACATCTAAGATACGACCTTGAAGGAACAACGTTGATTATGCTAAGGCTTGTTAAATATAAAGACGATAAGCTCTACAATATGACTTGACAATCTCAACAAAGGATGCTGAGAAGACAGTTAAAAAGAACAAGTACATGCCTTAAGGCATAAGTTAAGAACTAAAGGCTACAAGGGCTGATTTTATAGATCATGGACGACCCATGATAGTTACAAGGATTAATGAAGGTCTTGTTATACCGAGAAAAGAACTTAAGACCCAAAGAACCCGCCTTGTACAAGAAGGAACAAAAGGAACATCTAAAGTAACACTTGACAATCACAACAAAGGATATTGAGAAGACATTCGAAAGGAACAAGAGTCGAAATAAGTACATGACTTAAGACATAAGTTAAGAACTAAAGGCCACAAGGGTTGATTATAAGGATTATGGACAACCTGTAGGGTGAGGGGAGTTCTGCCTCGGGGCTGACCCTTCGAGCAGTACAGGAAGCATCGAATGCTCTTGTTAATGAATGAAAGGGGTCGATCAAGAGAGATTTGGCAATTTCGGATGTTTCACTTTCATGGGGGAATCGACTCTACGCCCCCATTTCGGTGCTCCGCCTGCAACATCTTTTAAGTAGGGGTGCGCTAGACCGTTGACGAATGGCAGAGTTAGTGAGCCGTGTAATAGGCGACCATTTTGCGCGGTCATCTAAGATATGACCTTGAAGGAACGACGTTGATTATGTTAAGGCTTGTTAAATATAAAGACAATAAGCTCTACAATATAGGGAAACACAAGGATGACCAATGATGACTTGACAATCTCAACAAAAGACGTTGAGAAGACAGTTAAAAGGAACAAATGCTAGAACAAGTACATGCCTTAAAGACATAAGTTATGAACTAAAGGCCACATAGGCTGATTTTATAGATTATGGACGACCAATGGTAGTTACAAGGATTAAGGAAGGTCTTGTAATACAGAGAAAGAAGAATTAAGACCCTAAGAACCCGCCTTGTACAAGACGGAACAAAGGAAGACCTTGTAATACCAAGAAAAGAAGAATTTAAGACCCAAAGAACCGGTGCCTTGTACACGACGGAATAAAAGGAACATCTAAGCTACGACCATGATGGAACAACACTGATTATGTTAAGACTTAAGACATAATTTAAGAACTATATGTCACAAGGGCTAATTTTAAGTGCTTGACTAGGTATGTACACTTTTAAGACTTTAAGATAAGTATGCCAAAGGATTTTAAGTGCTTGATTAACTTTAGGATTACTAAATAAGTTAAGACTCTTTAGACCTCAAAGAACACTGTCTCCAGAAAAATATCAATGTTAAGGATTAAGGAAAGTCTTGTAGCACCATGAAAGAAGAACTTATGTCCAGACTTGTTTTACATAAGAAAGAAAATATGCGCTCAAAGAATAAGGAAACGTAAGGATGACGAAGGAAGACTTGTCAATCTACGATACAATCTTGAAGGAACAATATTGATTATGTCCAGACTTGTTTTACATAAGAAAGAAAATATGCGCTTAAAGAATAAGGAAACATAAGGATGACGAAGGAAGACTTGTCAATCTCAACCAAAGATGTTTGAGAAGACCGTCAAAAAGTGAAAAAAGTACATGGCCTTAAGGCCTAAGTTAAGAAATAGTAAGCATTAAGGGCAAAAAGGTCTTTTTATTTTTATTTTTTAATTTTAAGTAAACTTCTTGAATTTTTAATTTCTTAGGGGAAGGAATTTCAAGAAGCCAAAAAGGGCCATTGTTTTTTTTTTTTTTTGAAAAAGTTAGGATTTTTTAGAATAAAATGTTCAAAATGTAGCAATTTACCGAAATACCCCTGAGTTTCCAATTATTTACAAAAATGCCCCTAGCCAAGAATTCTTTCCTGATTCGTTTAGTGAAGGTCAACGGTATTTACGAGGATTAAGGAAGACCTAAAACACCAAGGAAAGAAAAACTTAAGACCAAGGAACCACCTTCTACAGAAAGGAAGAAAAGTACTCTCTTATAAAGAACAATGTTGATGACATGGAGGCTCGTTGAACATATGGAAAAAGATAAGCTCTAAAATATAAGGAAACGCGAGGATGACCAAGGAAGACTTGTCATTCTCAATAAAGAATGTTGACAAGACAGTCAAGGGGCAAATGTCGGAACAAGTACACGACCCTAAGGAGACCTATATCATGACCAAATTTGGGTTTTGCTCCCGTGAGGATTAAATTTTCCAACAAACTTTTATGGTTAATAACTCGAGCTATAGTGCACGCCAAGGTATGAAATCGACCTCATTCTCTTCCTTGATTCAGCATCTACAAGCTTCATAAAGAAATCAAGGCCAAGGGAATGTCGTTTTCAAATGGAGGAGCATTGGCACGAATCGTCTTCTTCCACTGTCTGTGAAAGAAAACGATGACGTTGTTGGTTCAGTTGAACCGGTCACATCAGCCTAAAATGTGACCTTCCCTCGGGTTTCCTTAAAATTAGCCCCCTTCTAGACTAATTCTCAAGAAATTCTCTTTGGTTCCTGAAAAAACCCTCAAAGATGGACCTACCAAAGAAATTTTTTAGTAATTCAAATACTGAAAGCTCGAGAACAAAGAACCCAAACATCAACGAAATTGGACCGAAAGTTAATAAGGAGCTAAATCGACGTTTTTTTCTTGAAAATCCAAGTAACATTAAGATAACCCACTAAATGGATTCCACTTCTCATGAACTTTTAATAGAAGGCTTAAGATGACATGTTAAGGATATATATGAAGTTTGATGGTCATTGAAGTTTGGTAGGGGGTAAAACGAGGATAAATGCAAGATGACCAAAATGTCCCTATTATCCAAGTGTTGATTTATGAACTCTAAATGACCTAAGATTTTATTTATAGCCTATTGGTTATGCAAGATTCCAAAGTCATGGGAGCATATTTAGGTGGTTAAATGAAGAACTAATGGTTAAATGACTAAAATGCCCCTAAGATAATCCTAAGCTATTACAAGATTAAGAAGACCTTATTTAAGGGGACAAAGGTCTACCCATGAAGTTGAGGTTTATAAGGACATGCCAGAGAAGGACAAACCTATAGAAGACTCTCAAGAAACTTGGAAGAACATAAGGACCTTAAGATGTTTTCGAAGCCCCAAGGAACTCTAAACGTTATGAAAAAGAGACTTATGTATGATCCTAAGGACAATTACACCAAGGTAAGAATAAGAACTTTCAAATTGAAGAGAATTTGTAAGACCCCTAGCAAGTTTAAGTTGCTCAAAAAAAAAGTCTACGGGATCCCAGGAAAGGATTAAGACCCAAGCAAGGTTAAGGGCGGAAAAAAGAGCCTTTTGAAAAGGTTGGGAAAAAACAATAGTAAGCATAAAGGGCAAAAGGTCAATTTTTCAATTTTAAGTAAACTTTTTTTTTATTTTGAATTCCTTATGAAGCAGGAATTTCAAGATGCTCGAGATGAAAAAAAAAATTACCAAAAATAGGTAAAGCATTTTTAGGAAAAGTTTGGATTTTCAAAATAAAATATTCAAATTGTGGTATATTTACGAAAATGCCCCCAGCGAGAAAATCTATCCCTGATCCATTTTTGGTAGGGGTCAGCTAGACAAATGCTTCCATCTCTCAAGTTTCAACCGTTGAATTTTTCCCACAATTGGATATGATTTAGAAGACTCAGATACCTTCAGATCTAACGGTTGGTGTTCAAAGATGAAGTAGACAACACCCTCGTTGAACCCGCCTTCTACAATAAGGAACAAAAAGACTCTATAATACAACTTTGAAGGAGCAAGACTTGTTGAACATAAAGAAGAAGTTAATCTTTAAGATATAAAGGAAATACAAGGATGACCGAAGAAGACTTGTTAAATTCAACGAAGGATGTCGAAAATTGAGAATACAGTCAAAATGGGCAAATTTGGAACAAGTACACAACCTTAAGGTATAAGATAAGAACTAAATGTCACAAGAGAAAATTGTAAGAACATGGAGAAGGAGAAACCTAGGAATGAACCCTCAAGAAATTTGGAAGGGCATAACTAAGGACAAATACCCAAATGCAAGGTAATAACAAATACCAGTATCGTTGTCTCAAAGGTTGATGCAAGCTTCATCTACAAATAAGAAGATATGGACAACATTTAGGGACAAGAGTGAGGACTTGAGAGTACAAGGATTAATGAAGGGTAAGAGTAATTACAAGGATTAAGGAAGACCAAGGAAAGAACTTAAGACCCTAAGAACCCACCTTGTACCATAAGAAACAAAAAGAACCTTTAAGATAATAGAATCTTGAAGGAACAAGGTTGATTATGTCAAGACTTCTTGAACTTAAAGGAAAAAGATAAGGTTTAGGATATAAGAAAGCGTAAGCATGACCAAGGAAAACTTGTCAATTTGAACCAAGGATGTTTAGAAGACATTCAAAAAGGATAAATGTCGAAACAAGTACATGGCCTTAAGGCATAAGTTGAAAGGGGTAGATTATAACAAGTTGGAAAAGGACAAACCTATAAAAGGACCCTCAAGCAGGACATAATGAAGGACAAGTACCCCATGGCAAGGTAAGAACAACAAACTTTCGAGAATAAAAGTTTTTAAGAGGGGGAGAATTTGTGAGACCCCAAGTAAAGTTAAGACACTCGAGTAAGTTTAAGGTGGGGCCCAAGGAAGAGATTCTCAATGCTCTAAAATGTCATTTTTCCAATTTTAAGTTAAGTTCTTGAGTTTTTCATTTCTTAAATCTTCCATATCTCAAGATCCGACCGTTATTTGGATATGATCTAGAAGACTCAGATATCTTTAGATCTAACGGTTGGTGTTCAAAGTTGAAGTCTATAACACCCTCATCGGAGTAGATTTTTTCGCTGGACCTTTAGGTACAAGAGTAGAGGCTAGAGAGTACAAGGATTAATGAAGGTCAAGGGTGGTTACCAGGATTAAGGAAGACCTTATAACACCAAGGAAAGAAGAACTTAAGACCCTAAGAACCTTGTCATCTCAACCAAGAATATTCAAAAGACCGCCCAAAGGGGCAAATGCTAGAACAAGTACATGGCCTTAAGGCATTAGTTAAGAACTAAATGCCACAAGGGTAGATAATAAGGACAGGTCAAAAAATGAAAACCCTATAAAAGGACCCTCAAGAAACTCAGAATGACATAACCAAGGACAAGAACCTAGAGACAAGGTAAGAAAAATGAATTTTGGGGGACAAAGGGGAGAATTTGTAAGACCCCAAGTAAGGTTAAGACACTCGAGTAGGTTAAAGTTGTAAGAGACCCAAGGAAAGTTAAGGAGACCCAAAAAAGATATTCTCAATGACCTTGCAAAGTTTGATAGGGATGGAAAAGGTTTGGAAAAGAAATAGTTAACTTAAAAGGTAAAAAGGTTGTAACACCAAGAAAAGAACTTATAGACCCTAAGAACCCGCCTTGTACAAGAAGGAACAAAAGGAACCTCTAAGATATAACCTTGAAGGAACCATGTTCATTATGTCAAGGTTTGTTGAACATAAAGAATAAGATAAGCTCTAAGATATAAGTAACAAACGAATGACCAAGGAAGACTTGTTAATCTCAATAAAAGATATTGAGAAGACAGACAAAGGGGGCAAATGGCTTAAGGCTTAAGTTGGCAAATTATAAAGATATGTGGGAGAAGTTCAAACCTATAAAAGGACCTTCAAGAAACTTGGAAGGATATACTAAAGGCCACACGGGCAAATTATAAGGATATGTTGGAGAAGTTCAAACCTATAAAAGGACCCTCAAGAAACTTGGAAGGACATAAGTGAGGGCAAGTCACAAAAAAAGAAAAAAAATATGTCAATTTTCCAATTTTAGGTAAACTTCTCGAACTTTTAATTTCTTATGGGAAGAAATTTCAAGATGCTCGAAGGGAAAAATGAAGGGGAAAATGAATAGATTTGGATAGTGTTTGGATTTTTCGAATAAAAAATTCAAAATGTGAAAAATTACCAAAATACCCTAAACTTCCAATTATTTACAAAAATGCCCCTGACTAGAAATCTTTCCAGATTGGTTTACAGCCGGGGTCATCTGGACAAAATCTTTCATATCTCAAGATTCAATTATTGAATTTGTTCCAAATATGGATATGATCTGGAAGACTCATGTTCAAATCTAACGACTGGTGTTGAAAAATGACGTTGGAAACATCCTCATCGAAGTAGATTTTTCCAATGGACCTTCCTTTAGTTTCAAGTTTAAAATCAGCACTATTTTGTATGTTTCTAGTTCGTTGCAAGCTTCATCCACAAATGGTAAAATGTGGGCAACGTTTAGGGATAAGAGTGGAGGCTCGAGAGTAGAAGGAACCTCTAAAAGACCCTTAGAACCCCCCTTGTACAAAAAGAAACAAAAAGAAGAACAAGGTAAATGGAATAGGTGTTTGTTGAACTCGGCTCGGTCTCTCTTTGCTTTCCTTTGACTCTAAGATACAATCTTGAAGGAACAATATCGATTATGTCAAGACTTGTTGACCATAAAAAGATAAGCTCTAGGATATAAGGAAACTTCGGCCAAGGAAGACTATTTAATCTCAACAATAAATTATCACGATAGAAATATGGTACTTTTTTAGAATGATCTATAGGTTTCCTTGACGAATTAAATGAGATGATATCCTTTCTTTAATAAGAAAAAGATCCACCGTGTACGTTTTTACTTAATTCTAGGGTGTGCAAGATGTATACTACGTCAGCTACCTTGTGTTAAAGTCATGGCTTGGTCATCTGATGAAGGGAAAGAGCTCCAATAGAATTTGAAAACCTTAAGAGATGCTTTTTGCACCATTTTCTATTGAACCTACGACATTATAATTTCATTCGTTTCATTTAAAACAGGTTTTTCTTATTTTCCTTGGTTAGGTAAAAATACTAATTTCAGGCACGACTTTTGTTTTGTCTTTATTATATTTTACATTTTAGTTTGTCTTCATTAGTAAATTGACTCAGTATACGTGTTTATTCTTTATATATTTGTACATGTTCACTCCTGTATGCTCTCGCCATCGAACCATTCACAAATTAGTAATTAGTGTATTAATATGTTAGGTTATGAAGTCTGCTGGTTATTTATAGCTTAGTCAACGGTTATATATGGTAAATGACATATAAAGTAAATTGCCATAAATAGTAAATTGTTTTGTAGAGTAAAAAGCTATATCTGGTAAAACTATATATGGTAGATAGTTATATCTAGTAAAACTATATATAGTAAACTGAATTATATATATCTCAGAGCTTTGAAAATGTACTTTCTATATTTCTATGTATTCTCTCTTACTGTGCATATCTGTAGTCATCAATACAAATCTTTTAGTCAATATTCTCCTTCCATTTTCTCTATATTGTTCTTTGTGTTCATCTAGATCGAGTGTGTGCGTTGTTGTGTGATCCCAACAACTGGTATCAGAGCTAGGCTAAATTTACCACGATCATTGAAGATGGAAAGTTCAAAGATTAGAATTGAGAAGTTCGATGGATCCGATTTCGGTTTCTGGAAGATGCAGATTAGAGATTATCTGTACCAAAAAGATCTTCACGAACCCCTATTGGGGGTGAAGCCAGATACCATGACCACGGAACAATGGAAGCTCAAGGATCGACAGGCCTTATGGTTGATCCGGTTGACGCTATCCATAAATGTAGTGCTCAACATCATTAAGGAGAAGACAACGTCAGATCTGTTGAAGGCGAAGTAAATCGAAGGACCCAAACAAAGGGCGATCAAAATCAACGTCTTTTCATTCGTTTCCAAATAAAGAGTTGTTTCGAAATTTCAAGTTTGAAAATTTTGAGAAGGTGTATCTTGCCAACAACAAAGATTTTGAGATTAAAGTAAATGGGAATGTCTGCATAAAAACACGGGCAGGAAATCAGTGGACATTAAATGATGTCAGATATATTCCTAGTCTCAAGAAGAATTTGATCTCTATTGGTCAGTTGGACAACACAGGTTATGCAACAGAGTTAGAGAAGAGTTCGTGGAAGATTATGAGGGTGCTATGGTGGTAGCACATGGCATAAAATCTGGACTGCAAGGTGTGAACATGGCTGCTGTTGCTAAGAATGCTTTAAATTCAAGTCTATGGCATAATAGACTTGGATATATGAGCGAAACGAGTTAGCTTCACAAGGACTACCAGCAAATTGAAGAAAGTACGGTTGGAAATGATCCATACAGATGTGGAGCAAGGTTCCAAAACCACAAAGCAAGTGGGAGTTGAGCATGAGTTGCAGGGAAACTCACCTAGTGATGTTGTAGCAGATACTCATGAAACTCCTGAGACTACTGCTGAGGAACCAGATGTGGAACAAGGTTCCAAAACCACGAAGCAAGTGAGAGTTGAGCTTGAGTTATAGGGAAACTCACCTAGTAATGTTGTAGCAGATACTCATGAAACTCCTGAGACTACTACTGAGAAACCAGATGTGGAGCAAGGTTCCAAGACCACGAAGCAAGTGGGAGTTGAGCTTTGAGTTGCAGAGAAACTCACCTAGTAATGTTGTAGAAGATACTCATGAAACTCTTGAGACTACTGCTGAAGAACCAGATGTGGAGCAAGGTTCCAAGACCACGAAGCAAGTGGGAGTTGAGCTTTGAGTTGCAGAGAAACTCACCTAGTAATGTTGTAGAAGATACTCATGAAACTCTTGAGACTACTGCTGAAGAACCAGATGTGGAGCAAGGTTCCAAGACCACGAAGCAAGTGGGAGTTGAGAAACTTCTGAGACTACTGCTGAAGACCCAGATGTAGAACAAGATTCCAAGACCACGAAGCAAGTGGGAGTTAAGCTTGAGTTGCAGGGAAACTCACCTAGTGATGTTGTAGCAGATACTCATGAAACTCCCGAGACTACTGCTGAGGAACCAGATGTGGAGCAAGGTTCCAAGACAACGAAGCAAGTGAGATAGATAGTTTATATATAGTAGATGGTTATATCTGGTAAATGTATATATAGTAAGCTAAATCATATATATGTACTTTCTATATTTCTCTGTATTATCTCTTACTGTACATATCTGTAGTCGTCAATACAAATCCTTTAGCCAATATTCTCCTTTCATTTTCTCTATATTGTTCTTTGTGTTCATCTAGATCGAGTGTGTGCGTTGTTGTGCGATCCCAATATAGTAGGATCCTTTTGTGATGCACTTCTTAATAGAATGAGTTCTAACATCAAAGCATCATAAATTCTACTTTAATCATAGTGAGTTGGCTCTTGATCAGCAATAAAATTTATTTCTCTTGCTATTGAGCCGATGATTCGATCAAGATTTAAGAAGCTAGCTGATTATTCCATAGAATTTAATTGTCCACAAGCTTCTTAAATCATGACCGAATCATCGGCTCAGTAGCAAGAAAAATATATTTTACTGCTGATTAATAATCAATTCACTATAACTTGTCCAAAGTCTTGTAAAGCTATTGATGAAGATTGAGCTGGTATGTTACGAAGACTTGATATTAACGTAGCATATTTGACTCCTTGTAGCTTTATGCTCAAAGTAGACAATATCATACTATTGTGGAGGTCGTGGTTTCTAACACACCAGTCGTGAAGGCTTCAACTCTAATCTAGATTAGAATATTCTATAATTTGAGAATCACATGCATGTATCTGCTGTAATGGAGTGGGATTCTACAAATATCGACTCGATTTGTTAATAATACATGAAATCTTTGGATGTGTATGTGTTACATCATGTAGAGCCCCAATTGCACTTATATAAACGGTAGGATTAGTCATTTACCTGGCCATCATGTGTTGTACTGTTGGAGTAGAACAAGCCTTATTCTAAGGCTTTCCATTTTCTTCAGTGTAATCTGGAACCATTAGCCATAGAGATTAAACTATCCACAGTAGGATAGGATACATAGCTCATGTGTTTGATTTGTTTGAGCTGAGATCCTAGGAGTGGTAGCTTCAATTGATAGATACAAAACAATTGATAGAGACTTTTGTATGTGGTATGTTGATACATAGTTCATGTGTTTGAGTTGAGATCCAAGGAGTGTAGCTTCAATTGATAAAGACTTTTGTATGTTGTATATTGATATTTTCTGAAACATTTCTTGTCATTTTTGTAGATGGAGATTGATTATGCTATTCATATTTCTTGTCGTTTTTGTAGGCTGAGATGGATTATGCTGAATAGAACATCAACTCTAATAATCAAAGTACAGGTCAGCGTAACTATTGAATTCTATGATGCACACTCAATTGCCTAATTCACGAGTAGATTTCACAGTTCGTAGAGCCGTATGCGATGTTCTCGACAAGAGCGATCGCGATGCGAACAAAGGCTTCGCGGCGGATGATTTGGAGAAGGATGCTGTCAATAACTACATGAGATTAATAGGCCTTGTTCTTTTAACCATGGCATGTAGTAATAATAATAATCCGACAAAGAAAGTCTGAGAAAAAAAGAAAAAGAAAATCAACGGGAAACGTGAAACAGAGTACGCAAATACAGATTATTAAACTGGAAGAAGAAAAGTTGGGTGACAAAGCTTAGAACACATGTAATCTAAGTTGAAATTGAAAGAAAGGCAATGAATATGAGGTCCAAACAAAGCAATAAAAGAGTGACAAAATAATGTTGTCAAAGAATATGAGATTCTCCTAACTTGGTACGCACTCAAAAAAACACAAACACATGACATTATGTTATGTTGCATCATTAAAAGCTCTCCAAGCCCCACATCCACTTCTCATAAATGCCCTTTTCAACTTGGTTGGATTCAAATAACTAAAATTTTTATGAGTTGGATTGGTTCTTGAGTTCCCCTAAAATTAGGTTTGTGACTCATTGTAGGCTCGAGAGCCCTTGCCTGCCTTGAACTACAAGAGCGATTCGACCAAAATTTTATTGAACTACAACTTCCTATGTTATGGGCTTGCTGCTTTTCATCTTACCTGAATGAAGACCCACGTTATTCATTTGGTTCTGGCTGATCCCGTCAAAATATTTAATGAGTAATTTTAGCAAGAATCAAACTTAAACTCTGATATTTTTAGGATACATTATAATAATTGAAATATTTATAAATAGTAGGATTTAATGCTATAATTATATACGTAATTTGGTACCTCGTTTTTTTTGTAATAATTATTGAATTATACTCAATAAATATTGAATATTGGTTCAATAATTAATCAATACTATTTAGTAAAATAATAAATCTTGGCAAATAATATCGTACATTAATAATTTAATCTGTATTATTAACAATAATAAAGATCAATCATTATTTTAAACTATATAGTTTTAAAGATATTACGCACTCATTTAATGATTTCATCCAATCTTAAAGATCAAAAACTTAATTACCTTCAATCATTTTCTTCGTTTCAAATTTTTTACCACCTTTTCTTTTTTTTTGGTTTTTTCGATTTTAAAATGTGTTTACTATAAATAGAATCTAGCCCTACTCCGACCAGTGTCTCGCACGTTCAAGTCTAACCCTACTCCGATCATTGCCTCACATAGTTTGGGTCTAGCTTTACTCCGACCAGTATCTTGCAACGTCTGAGTTTAACCCTACTCCAACTAGTGCCTCGCATCGTCCGGTAACCTAGCTCTGATATAATTTGTAATAGCCCAAAACTACCATTGCATATATTATCCGCTTTAGTCTGTTACTTATTACCGTCAGCCTCATGGTTCTAAAACACGTTAAGAAGAGGTTTGCACACCCTTATAAGAAATGTTTCATTCTCTTCTCCAATTGACAATTAAACCTGCTTTATGGTTAAGTTAATAAAAAAAATCTTTAAGCTTTATATTTTATATTATTTTAATATAAAAATTTGTAATTTTAAAAGTTTTAAATACCTTTCGATTTTATAAAGTTTTATTATCTTTAAATTTAAAAATAAAAATAAAAAAAGTTAATCTAAATTTTTAATTTTTTTAGGA